AGGTGCCTGGGCCCTGCACCCCATGGGAGACCAGGAAAAGCACCTGGCTCCTGGCTCCTGCCATCGGATCAGCGCGGTGCGCCGGCCGCAGCGCGCTGGCTGCGGCGGCCATTGGAGGGTGAACCAACGGCAAAGGAAGACCTTTCTCTCTGTCTCTCTCTCTCACTGTCCACTCTGCCTGTCAAAATAATAATAATAATAATAATAATAATAATAATAAAAAGAAGGAAATCCCAGCTCCCTGTGGCCAGTCAGCTCAGCATGGCAAATGCTGTGGGCCTTTCCTAACAGCAGGTCGACCGCGAGCATCTTAAGATGAACTAACGTCCCACCTCTGCTTCCAATCCAGTGTCCTGCCAATGTGCACCCTGGGAAGCAGCATGTGATTGCTCAGGTAGCTGGATCCTTGCCACCCACATGAGAGTTCCAGATGGAGCTCCTGGCTCCTGACTTCAGCCCAGCCATGGCTGTTGTAGGCATTTGGGGAGTTAATAGGCAGATGGAAGATATCTGTCCCCCTCTCTCTGTTGCTCTGCTTTTCAAAAAGCAAGCAAGCAAGCAAGAAAGAAAAATTAGCAGATGAAAAAAAACAAGTTGCAGCACTGACTAAATTGGCTAATTCTGTTGGAAATTCCACCAACCAGAAACACTCCCTTCTTTCCACTAAAGACCAAACCATGGAAAACTAACGACTGAGTGAAATTCTCCCAAATCATCCCAGGACATTCCCAACTTCAACCTCCCCCTGGACACTGTAGCTGACGGCTGAGAAGAGCACGGGGATGAGAACTGGGAGATCAGGCTTCAGGGTTTGTGACGCTGAGTTCGTTGCTGGACTCCCAGTGTCTCCTTTGCTTTATGTGTTCCATGAAGGTACCTTCAGGTGGAGGCTAAACATGCGCCTAGAAGGTGCTTAGCCCGGCACTCAAGACCGTCTGTGAACAAGGCCCATCATCCTTGCAGTCTGGTGCTTACACGCTGGAAAGAGAGTGGCTTTGGAGTGAGGCTGACTTCTTAGCTGTGACCAACTGAGTGGTACCTTCATGCCCTGAGCCCGAGACACGGAGATGAAGTGTATACCTGCCAGGGCTGCTCCTGGGGTGAAGACCCTAACACTGCCTGGCACTTGGAAGAGTTCTGTCCACACCAGGGTCCCACGGCCTCAGGGAACACTTAACAAGATGAATACTCTGCTCTTTCCCAGGGGACCTTGGCTGCTGGTGTTCTATCTTTCTCCACATGTGTGAATCCTCTGCACCCTTTAAAGCTCATTCCAAGTGTCACCTCACCCATGCAGCCCTCCCGAATTCCATTCAGTCAAAGCAAACTCTCCCTTTGAACACCCACAGCAGTCGTGGCACACACATTCTCCTTTGCCACCCCCGACACACACATCACTGTTAAGACATCTTGGCTTATCTCCTCTCTGCCAGAGTACCTATTTGATGGCAAGAACTGTGTCTGTCGTTCCCACCACCCCCTCAGTCTCCAGCACAGAAGAGGCCACAGTACCAACCAGAAACTTGTCAGGACTGTAGATTCTCAGGTCCACCTCACATCTGCTGAATCAAGAACTATAGGCCGGCGCCGTGGCTCACTAGGCTAATCCTCCGCCTTGCGGCGCCGGCACACCAGGTTCTAGTCCTGGTCGGGGCGCCGGATCCTGTCCTGGTTGCCCCTCTTCCAGGCCAGCTCTCTGCTGTGGCCAGGGAGTGCAGTGGAGGATGGCCCAAGTACTTGGGCCCTGCACCCCATGGGAGACCAGGAGAAGCACCTGACTCCTGCCATTGGATCAGCAGGGTGCGCTGGCCGCGGCGGCCATTGGAGGGTGAACCAACGGCAAAGGAAGACCTTTCTCTCTCTCTCTCTCTGTCTCGCTGTCTACTCTGCCTGTCAAAAAAAAAAAAAAAAAAAAAAAACACCACAAAACTATAAAACTATAAGAGCAGAGCCCAGAAATCTGTTTTTCTAGAAAATCCTTTTAATTTTTATTTCCAAGAAAAAGGATTTATTTGAAAGGCAGAATGACAGAGAAGGACAGACAGAGTTGAGAGAGAACTTCCACCTGCTGGTTCTCTCCCCAGAAGACTACAACAGCCAGGCCTGGGCCAGGCCCAAGAAGCCAGAACTCCACCTTGGTCTCTCCTGTAGGCAACCTTGGGCCATCTTCTGCTGCCTTAATTAGTAGGAAGTTGCATGATAAGCAGAGCAATCAGGACTGGAACCAGCACTCCAATATGGGATGCTGGTATCTCAAGTGGCAGCCTAATGTGCTGTGCCACAATGCCAAACACCCTCCAGGAAATTCTGATGTTCACTGAAGTTGAAGATCATGGGAATAAGGGTTTAATGAATAAATAAATGATCATGAATTAAAATACAAGCACCATAAAAATGTATGGAGACAATAACAATCACCAGGTCCTTATGGCCTCAACCACGGCACTAGGAAAACAGAACCTTAGTTCCTGTCTCACGCACACCAGAGATACGGGGGAAAGGCTGCTGGCCGAAGTTCAGGTCTGTGTGTGCACGAGTGGCCGGGTACAGTATGTGTATGTTAGTCTTCAGCGCACTGGAAAACTTGGCAGCTTAGAGGTGAAAGGGTTGGTAAAAACGGCATTTTCCCCTTGAAGTCTTGCCTGGAGGCAAGCACCGTCACAGAGGCACCCTCTGAGCAGAACCCTGCCCAGGACTTCCTGGCTGCAGTCTTTTCCTTCCAAAGCAAGGTGGGTGGGACACTGAAGAAAAGCCAGTAATTTTCACATTTCAGACAAAGTGAAGAGGCACAATTAGAGGGAAGAAGGCGTAAGGTAACAAAACGTGCTTTTTTTGTTTTGATGTGAACTTCGAGGGCTCATTCCAACACTGACCCTCACTCCTACACATCAGGGAGGAAAACCAGGAGTTCTGAGAGTGCCAGAATCTACACTGGGCATGGCTGCAGGGTGCACATGAGACTAATGTTTTGCTACAGGCTCTGCCCCTCCAGAACTTGGAAAGCATGTGCCAGACTGGAGAATGTGTCTTTTTCTCCTAGTCCAGACACTGCTCTCTGTCTGGCTTTATTCCCTTCACTCCCCTATCCACCCCCCACCCCTTTTTAAATTTATTTATTTAAATAAATCAATTTAAATAAAAGGAAGAGTTATAGTAAGAGAGATAGACACACAGAGAGAGATCTTCCACCCACTGGTTTGCTCCAGGTCTGAGCTAGGCCAGAGCCAGGAATTTCATCTGAGTCTCCAATGTGGGTGTAGGGGTACAAGGACTTGGGCCATCTTCTGCTGCCTTCCCAGGAGCATTAGCAGGGAGCTGGATCAGAAGTGGAGCAGCCAGGACTCGAACCAGTGCCCATATGGGATGCCAGCACTCCAGGTGGTGGCTTAATCTATTACGCCCCAATGCTGGTCCCTCCCCCACATCTTAACTGGAGAGATAATTAGCCAGTCATGCAGCTCTTCCCCTAACTTTAAGCCGCTGGGTGAAGCACCTGCTTCCTAGGCTACCTCTTTGCCATCTGGGTCTCTCTGTCCCTGCCACCCCACCCCTGATGACCCAATTCTGATGGCTACTGATCCTGCTCTGTGACAGCCCAGCAGGCTCTGTCAATCTGAGATGGTGCCATCAGCAGCTCTGTTCCTTTCTGGAACTGATGCAGCCTGGGCAGGACCCCAGAAAAACAAACTGCAGCTCTGTGGCCTCAGCTTCGACTTGAGTTGTAACAAGTGTGGGAGGGAACATTTGAACCCTCTGGTTGTCTGCATTTTAAAACATTTAAACACAGCCCATCTACCATCCACCTGCTCAGCACTTGGTGTTTTCAGTAACTTTCTCAGCCCCACCCCTTCTAAAATAGCAACGATTCTGTGCCCTCTGCCACTGCTCATCTACAAGGAGGCCCAGTGCCCTTCCCCTTCTGCATGGAGAGGGAAAAGTGAGGGTGGGGGAGAGGTCCCGCCCGGAGGACCCCCTCTTGCCGGCTACAAGCTCTGACTGCAGTTCAGAGAGACAATCCTCAGCCAAGGGTCTGATTTCCTTTCCTGACAGGACAACAGTCCTGGCTGCGTCCTAATCCTAGCTGTGGTGCGGGGAGTGGGGAGATGAGAAAGGTGGAAATATTTGGCAGGGGTGATGGGGGTGTTGCATAGGTGGGCAAGCCAGCCCCACCTCTGGTTCCCAATGGAGGCAATGACGGGGGCTGAGAATGATCTGGGGAAACAGTCTGCAGTGGTCACCTGGGGCCCCTCTGTCCAAAGGACACCCTCATCCTCCCACTGCTTGTCAAGCATCTGACACGGTTCCAGCTGAGCTCCCGGATCACAGGAGAAAGCCTGTTAGCTACAGCGACCCTGGTCACTCTCAGAGAGCCACTACAATGTCACTACCACTGCGCCACTCTGGGAGATGCAAGTGGTCCTGGTCTCAAGCAAGGCCAGCGGCAAGACGAGGACCGTCTCCTCATGGTACTGAGGGGACAGGAACAGGTTACATGCACTGGCGACGCCTCCAGATGCTTCAGTTTGGGAAATGAGGAAGAAACAAAACTCAAGACTTACTTTTCTCCAGGGACCGAGGCAAAGACTGTTGCTTTAAGAGTGGTCCTCAGAATCAGTACCACATGGTTCTCACAGGTTCTCACAGGCTCTCACAGGCACGCTGGCCTCTAGAGCTTGGCCGGCATGCAAGCGACACGACTGCAGTAACCTCTCCTCGTGAAGCCGCCAGACCTGTGCTGGGCTGGCCGGAGGAGGGATCTAGGTTGCTATCACCTGATTATCACGCGATGGAGAGGGCAGGAGGTGGCAACCAAGGCCTCTGAAGAGGCTCAGCCCATACCCCCAGGCTTCAGAGCGCACCAGAACTCTTCTTCACTCGGGGACCCTATAACACTGCCCTCAAGAAAATCAGGAACAGGCTGGCCAGTCCTTGGCTCCCTGCCAGGCACAGGCAATAACCTGGACCCTGGGATACCAAGAACCCCCTGGGCGAAGACTTACACCAGAGTTCATAGTAGTAGTTGCAGCACTGGGACTGTCCACAGCAGTGTCCTGTGTCACAGATGTAGCTCTGATTGTTGGTGCCCACACAGGCTTCCTTATCCTAAAAGTCAAAAAGCACAGCAGCAAATGAGACTGCAGCTCTGGACTTTGACTTTTCTTCTCCTCTCCCTCCACCTACCCACCCTCGAACAGTCTGTAGCACTGCTGATTCCATTAACATAAAAAAGTGAAAAAGAACAAGACAACAGCAGAATTTAGGAAAGAAATGTGGTTTATGAGAGTGGGGAGGGGGCTCGGCACACAGAGGCAGCCAGGGACGAGCCGAGCAGTCCTCATACAGGACAGGAAAGGGCTGCCTCAGTTCCATCACGGCACTGTGTTCTGGGGCTAGCTGGCAGGAAGGTGACAACTCTCCTGTAATTAGCAGTATGTTTTAAGTAACACCGGCTTTTCTGTGAAACTTCCCAGAATAATTAATGGGGCATGTACTCCAGGATTAGCATCTAGTCGGATCATTCCATTCTTCCTTTAAAACATTTGATCTCCAAGATTAGTTCACAGTGTAAATTAATCAGGATCCGCTACTAAAAATCCGCTACTAAAATTCCTCATTCTTCAGAAAAGGGACCATGTAAGCAGGTGGCCCAGCCTAATTTCAATTTCCTTTATCACTCTGCTTATCAAATGATAATCTCCTAAGAATCCTGACTGGATCCTAGATGTGTACTGTCCCTTATCGGGACAGCTACATAAATGGCACTGCTGAGTAACCACCTAGCAGTTGCCAAATTCTATTCGCAGCACTAATGGCCTGATGAAGGTGAACTTGCTTTTTCTATCTATATTTCACATTTGAAATACCCTACCAGGCAACCTTAACCTCAGCCTAACATGCCCTCTGGGCTGTTATGCATCTGATGAAACATAAGCCACCTGCTCTTTCAATATTTCTTTATTCTAAATTACTGACACAATCATACACCAGGTGCTGTCTTTATGCCAAGCATTGTGTTGGACACAAGGAATACAAAGATGAATAAGACATTGTCTCTATCTTCAGGAAACTCAGAGTTAAGAAGAAAACCCTGCTCGGCAGAGAAACTCAAACCACAGTATTGTATTTGCTACCACTCAGGCTGACCCTGCCCACAGTGCACATCCGGGCGGACGGCTGCCAGTGGAAACTTGAGTCACATGGTAGGTTCCTCTCTCTGGGCCTGGCTTTGCTAAACTGTCTGCTTGGCCAACGGTATAAACAAAGTACTGTCTACAGGGCTAGAGGCTGGGCAGCAAGAGGAAAGGCACCTGCAGAAAGGGCACAGCTGAAAGCTAGATCCCCTGCTGAGCCCAACTTTCCACCACGTGTCCTCAGGTGCTTCTTGGTCTTTCAAAGTCTCTCACCCTGGGACAGAGGAGTTTAGGAAACACAGAAAAAGGCATACATAAACTGTAATAAGGAAGGTTTCACAGTATTGCAAAAAGTGTTCTTCCTGTCTTAACCTTCCCACGCCCACCACAAGTAAAATGAGACACTGAGCGGTGGGTGGCTGTGCAGCCGCCGCCTCCTCTGATGGCACACAGGGAAAACAGATGCGTGCTTGCTGCTTTTGCTAGAATACAACCTTCTCTTATTTCAGAGTAAAACACTCCCTTCATATGGACATCAAAAACCTTCTCCCGAGTCTACCAGGCCCTGCAAATGCCGTTCTTCTGGCACCAGCTTGCAAGAGCATGGTTCAAAGTGTCCACATGGTTTCTAAAAGAGGCTGTACTGTCCACGTCCCGGCGCATGAAGACTCCAGTGACACCTCTGCTTCAGCAAAATGCACCACATGAGGCCCAGGCTCTGAGCACAGGGCAGCCAACTGGTCCTGAGTGAGGCCTGGGATGGAACGTGTTTCGAATCAAAACAAGGGGCATCCGCATCAGGGACCGGTGTCAGCTTTTCTCTCGACTCTTCTGTGCCCTGACGCAGCGGCCTGGCATAAACAGACCCCACCGTACAGAACAGAGAATGCCTCCACTTGCCAGGGAAGAACAATGGCAGCTGCATCATTTAATCTGCCTGTTTGAACCCCATATGCTAATGCCCTGTGCCCCTCCCTCTTTCCTACAAATACAGAGTCCTGAGGCGCCTGGCATGGTCTTGGTTACACTAACTGCCATTTTCTGCCTCGGGGAGAAGGAAAGAGTTGGCTCATGGGCCTTTAGTGCGGAAGAAGCAGAAAGCAATTTGGGGGATGGTGAAATGTGTGAGGTGAGCTCCTCCAGAGAGACCTGCTGGGACAAGAGGTAAATCCAGGAGTGGTGAGTTTAGCTGCAGCTCTGCTACTATCAAGGAATGGGACTTCGGACATGTTACTCAGTGGTCCTGAGGCTGCTTAAGACAATTTCTAGCATCCCCTTCAACTCCAAGGCAGTATTATCCTACCTACTCCTCCATCCCATCTCAGACACAGCAGCCTCAAGTCTTGGCAAGAGCTCATGAGTCTGTATGGCCTCTCACTCAAAAAACCAACAAAAACACTGTGATGCTGTGTAAACACTTCCTGGTGCTTTTCCACTGTTCTTTGTATAAGGAGTCAAATCGTGGATCACTCCGAGGACTTTCAAAGACCTCCAAATCACTTAAGTATCGTGAGTCCTGAGCTGAGTCACTGGGGGGCCTGCCATGTGGCACTGTGGATTAAGCCTCCGCCTGCAGCCCCAGCATCCCATTTGGACGCTGGTTCTAGTCCTGGCTACTCCTCTTCCGATTCAGCTCTCTGCTTATGGCCTGGGAAAGCAGTAGAAGATGGCCCAAGTGCTTGGGCCCCTGCACCCATGTGGGAGACCTGCAAGAAGCTCCTGGCTCCAGGCTCCAGGCTTTGGATCTGCCCAGCTCTGGCTGTTGTGCCCATTTAGGGAGTGAACCAGTGGATGGAAGACCTTTCTCTCTCACCCTTTCCGTCTGTAACTCTGCCTGTCAAATAAGAAAGTAAATATTTTTTTTTTTTAAAGAGTCAGCTAGATTTGGGTTCAAAGCCCAGCTCTTACACTAGGCTTATTAACTTTGTGTCCTAGGTAAATTCCCTAATTTTTCTGAGCTCCTACTATCAACATTATTTTGTGAACCAAAATTGGAGGGCACGAAAGATCATCCAAACAGCACTGGTGCCTTCATTTAGAACTATTTCAGAACAATAATGTTCAGTGTGTCTGACCCAGACCATGAAGGAGAACAGAAGAGGAAACCAGAGAACACAATGGAAAGGTCAAATAGGGAAAGTGCTTTGCATCCTTTATGATTACCCTATGCTTTAAAAAAATTTTTTTATTTATTTATTTGAGACACAGAGTTACAGAGAAGAAGAGACAGAAAGATCTTCCACTCATTGGTTCACTCCCCAAATGGCTGCAACGGCTGGAGCTGGGCCAATCTGATGCCAGAAGCCAGGAGCTTCCCACAGGTCTCCCACACAACACAGGTGCAGGGGCCCAAGCACTTGGGCCATCTTGTGTTGCTTTCCCAGGCCATAAGCAGAGAGCTGGATCCGAAGAGGAGCAGCTGGGACATGAACCAGGGGATGCTGGCACTGCAGATGCAGGCTTAGCTGACTATGCCACAGTGCCAGCCCAACCTATGCTTTTCTTCTAAGCATCTTCAGCCCATTGCACATATTATGTTGTTCAGGCAAAGTGCCAAACAGTGAATAGTAAATATCCCTTCCACTTCCCCTTTATTCAGAGTATGATAAGAGAACAAATCATGGTCTCCCTAAGGAGAAGAGCTAATTTCCCATCCCCTCTCATAGCCAGAATAGGCACCACGCTGCTAGAAAATGATGACCATAGGACCTCCATGTAGGCAAGGAGAGTCAAGGTGAAGAACAGCTCATGTGTGCCAAGCACTTGCTATGTCTCAGGCATCATCCCAAAGCTACCAGATGGCTGGGAAGTTGGTAACCAGAAGAGGGGTGGGGAGAACATTCCAGGTGGAGAAAATGGTACCAGTGAAGCTCTTTGGCTAGAAGGAAACAGTTGACTAGGTTGTGAGCTGGCAGGCCACCTCTTCACCACGCCCCTGTGTGACCTCACGCCCCTACCTGACACACCTGTGTACCCACCTGCCAATCAGGGTAATGAACCACTCCCCTTTGGAAGTGGATTAAAGGCTTGGGACAGGGTGGGCCCAGTCCTTTTTCCCTCGACCCACTTGCAGCCTTCGGGTGCGTGGCCTTTGGGCCACCCGCCCCATCTCTGGCATGTTCCACGTGGCTGGCTCCTGCTGCTCGGTATGAATCCAGATTTCCCTTTCTTTCAGAGGCCCCTCACTCTCCATGCATTTCTCTCATTGAATAAAAAGCTTAAAACTTTAAAAAAAAAAAAAAAAAGGAAACAGCTGAAGAAATAGGATGGGAGTTGAGTAAGCAGGGAGGGGAGCGTATGTATATGTGGTGAGGGTGGAACCAGACTGTGCAGGGAGTAGACAAGATCAGATTTACATTTAAATATACCTTCTTCCAGTCAATGTCTTCATTTGCACAAAATTCCATGACTTAAAAAAAAAAAATAGCCAGAGCTACAGAATTTGTTAAAAAGGAACTTTGGGGACAAGCATTTGGCCTGGCAGCTAAAGGCATTGGATACCTGTGTCCCATATCTAAGTGCCTGGGTTCAATACCTGGCCCTGCTCCTGATTCTAGCTTCCTACTAATCTTAATATCCTGAGAGGCAGCAGTGATGGCTCAAGTAATTGGGTTCCTGCTACCCACAAATGAGATTTGGATTAAGTTCCTAGCTTCAGGCTTCAACCTTCGGTAGAGGCTGTTGCAGGCATTTGGGGAATGACTACCTTGATAGTTTCTCTACCTCTCTTTCTCTCCCCCCCCCCCCCCCCCCATCTCAAATAAATTTAAAAAAAAAAAAAAAAAAGGAATTTTGTGTGAATAATGAGCACCCTTAGTAGAGGCCTCTGGCCTTAAGGATGACTAGTGATGACTAGCATCCTTGGTTGTTACAGGCACACGCCTTCTGTCCTGGTGTGGCACACATGATCACCAAACAAAAAGCACAGGAATGGGGCCAATGCTGTGGTGTAGCGGATAAAGCTGCTGCCTG